ATGGGCGGCGCTGATTGCTTACCATCAGGTAATCCGAAATCTCGTTTACAGACCCATTACATAAAAAAATACGCCGTATAAAAACATTGGTGGACCACTAGCTTGAAATTAAATTTACGTTATGTTTTATGGAGTAAGAATTTTTTTCTTCGATGGCAACTGACTCTCCTATTGTTGTGGTCGACTGTACTGCCTGTATCAAGTGGTGGCGGCAAAAAAATGAACTATCGAACTTCAATTGTAGTAGTTTGATGTTGTAGTAGTTTGATGATAGGAGCATAATTAACTTTTAATATTTATACCATTGATAAATTTAAAAATATGTTTTGAAAAAGTTTTTATAAAAATCAAACAACTAGATGTCGCTCAACATAGTAAAACATAGTCCTTCGGTAACCTTAGTGTAGATGACACGGCGAAACATAACGCTGTGGTGGTTTCACGCCAGTTTTCTGCAAAGCAATGATATCTCTCCTGCCGAGTCGACCTATTCGTGCTGAATCGTGGCCTTTCTAAGTTAAATCGATTCTTTGTCCCCGATCACTGTTCATATTTCTCTCACTTTCAAAGTTATAATGATCTCTATGACACCTAACCCTGGTCTTCCCTGCCAGTGATATACATACGTATCTATCCCGATGCATAATATATGTCGATAGAATCGCTGACGACCTAATTCCCGCCAACACTGTCCCCACCAATTACATTGCAAATGGCCGCCCACTATCGCGACTGCAAGCAGCTAGTCGCTTAAATGGGCTATTAAACGATAGGCACCGGCTTTGTCAAAGTCTTTGATTAAGTAAGAGAAATGGACGATGAATTTTCTTCTCACTATATTTGTAGGTAAAGTGTTATATTAGAATAAGTAACTTTTACATGGTTTTATTTCGAACGAGGTACATACAGACATATTATTCAAAGAGCCGATTGTGGTGCTCAACGAAACAATTTTTATTATAAGACTAATTATCAATCAGTTGTTGCGATTTGTATAGGGAAGAAATTAAACTTATATTTAATTAAGATATTCATTAATCGCTGTTGAGTTCCGACACAAAATTCCAATAGATAACACTGTAGGTACTTGCCATTGTGTCGAAAACGATTTTACAACCATAACCAACACGCAGGCAGAACCAGTAGGCAGATTTATAATTTTAACAAAATCTGTTACAAACTTTATTCGATGTCCCCGTCCACTTTGTCGCAACAAATATAAATTTAACAAAACTCCGCGAATGACATGACGTCACAAAGTTTTTGAACAAGATGACAGATTCCAATACAGAGTTATAAATTTTTGAAGACTAAACAAGACTAAAGTATTTATTGCAAATTGGTTGTTATTTGGACAAAAGTAAGTTATATGACAACTGGGTTAGTGTTTAGTATCTGAGCTCTCAACTATAAAACTGCTTTCTTCATTCGATATTTTTTGATAAATTAAAAAAACAAATATGACTGCAAATGGTTTCCGTTCTTTCATTAATGTTTTAATATCTACATAGACAGATTTAATATCTAACTATGTATGTAGATGCATATAGGTTTATTTGGGCCATAGATAGCCAATTTCTGTTACGTCATAATTCCAATGGTACTGCTATTATATAAGCCCTGCTGCAGTGATCATTTATCTCGACGGGAAATTGAAATCACTATCCAAAGTAAAACGGAATGCTCACAAGGTTACCAATATCGAACATCTCTTTCCTCCTATTATTCTATCTCACTCTATCAAAGGTTTGATTAGAAATCAAAATACTGAAGGGAAACAAAATCAAGTTTCATTGAATGTTGAATACAAGCGCCAAATATATTTTGGATGAAAAAATCATATTTAGGCTATTTAACAGTTACAGATATGTAATTATTAGTATGGGATACATTATAGTAATTAGGTAGTTACCTAATTATTTACACTATTTATTTGGAAATGTTATAAACTATTTGATATTTATATTGTCCCAATTTTAAGTTATGACTATAGCCTTCGTTTATCGTCAAGTCAATTACAAAACTATGATTTTTTAAACATCGTATTTTAGCCAGATTGATACTTTCTAAGTAGAATGATCAAATGAAAAACACTATCGGTATATATACATATATAGCTAGCGACCCGCCCCAACCATTTTTCCACGATTTAATGAATGTACATAAATCTATATCATCCTTTGTATTATATATAATATCCTTTGTATTATAATATATCCTTTTATTCATAATATATCCTAGTGATATTAATATTAGTGTAGGGCGCCTTCTGGCTAGGTGGACTAACGATATCCGCAGGGTGGCTGGCAGTGGTTGGATGAGAAGAACTGAACATCGAGCTCAGTTACGTGCCAATGGGGAGGCCTATGTCCAGTAGTGGACGACATCAAGCTGATGATGATGATACATAATAAATCTTCATCTACAATCACTTGATCTATTTAAAAAAACCGCATCGATATCCGTTGCGTAGTTTTAAAGATTTAGGCATACATAAAGATATAGGGACAGAGAAAGCAGCTTTGTTTTGTACTATGGAGTGATGCGTCCATCATCGTTTAGTACGGTTTTCCGTTACATTCGATATTGCCTTTGAATGTATCGCTTTGTACAATTTGTTGAGTCTATCTCTATCCAGGATAAAAGGAATTATCAACCAAGTGTTTCTTTGAGTCTTACTGCAGGAAGCGTTTTGGTACATTCGGCCAATAGAGGCTAGTAATCCTTCATATTCTGGTGATAGCTAAGCTTGCAGGCTGGAGAAGAGGGCAGTTCTTTTCTCTTAATATCCTAGGCAATGCGTGGTTTGCTAGATGGCTGGCAACTGTCTGCCACACAACGTGTTTCGATTTCGCACGGAAAACTCTTTGTGTGATCCACAAATTGTTGTTCCGGGTCTGTGTGTGACCACCTTGTATATTTGTAAACGCACTTACACACACACACAGGAGAAAACTAGTGTGGGGCAACGTTTCAATATAAACACGAATATAAAGGCTGTAAGTAAATAAAATAATGTTTTGAGACCGTGGCTTAAAAAATAAATGAGACTAGATTCTGTAAATAAAATGAACAGCAAAACATATATCACGTTTTACATTGTGAATTTAAGCCTTTGAGGTAAGCGTGTTAGTGTTTGAAGGATTTTAATTCAAAGTGTAAAGTCAAAATTATAAACAGACCTTTTTACAGGCAACCTATAAACAAACGCCATAAAAAAAGGCGCACTATGTTCTAAGTACGAAAAAAAAACATGGGAACATTCAAGAAAATCTCCTTTTTCTTCCTAGAACATTTTCCAAAGAAACCCTTTCATTAATTTGACAAGAGACGTATTTTGCTTGTCTACTTACTTAACTACAATAAGAGCCAGTTCATGCACTTTAGCTTTAGTTTGTTGAACCACTTAACGTCACTCTGCACATTTAATGTAAGAAGTTAGGACTTTAAGATGGCTACGGAAACCATTTCACGCCTCGAAGCAATAAGGACTCAAGTTTTGAGACTGTCCCAGCGCTTGTACCGAGAATTAAGTACCTGATGTCCAGGCTAGTCAATAACTACCTCTAAATGGAGCTAAGTGTCACAGTCTCGAGCGACGATTCTACACGTAGGCAACGTAAAAGCGAAGCGGCTTTTGGTTTATTTCTGAACATTTACGGCGACTTACTCCTGGTTGTATTATGTTATGACACATGTCCGTTGTAGCCCCTTTCAATTTTCAATGAGCGGTTATTTTTTTTTTACTTCTTTCTGTTTAGTTCCCCATAGACGTAACTAGTTTTTGTTGTTCGAAAGCGACTTCAGTCTTCCTATTGTTTTTTTATAAAATTAATTTCTTATTAATGTAAAATCTTTTTGGTCTACATTAATTTCAAATTGAATTGGAATCCGTTTACAAGTTTTTTTTAAACATTTATTTAAAAATATTAAATATATTTTCTTTAAATGTGTATACTATTTTTTATTCGATAATATAACAGAACATATTCCAAAACAACATCGATAGCTCGTTCCAAAAGATTTTCACTGGATTTCAAAAAGAGAACCATTGGATTCCTTTTTTAAATTTGAGCTCTAGGACGTAATAAACCTAATTAGTGTGCTCAGCTACCACTGGGAGCTTCAACCGTTCTATTAGGTAGTAAAGACTAATTAATTTAATTACGATATCCTTTCCTCAATTCCAATTCGGATCGTTAAAGTTCTTTGAAGATCTCCTTTTTGATTAAAATATATCTCGAAACTTCTCTAATGTTCTTCGATTTTATTAGATCGGTGACCATAACAGCACATTAAGCTACATCAATATCTGTAATCGATTTTTTATCTTATGTTTAAGCAATACAATTGAAAATGTATTAAAGAATATGGATAGCTTGGAATGAATTTAATTTGATGGTTCGTAGAAATCCACAAGGATGTTCTTGTACAAAGTTCAACAAATCGTTTTGTTTACATAACTAACTCGAGTAACGTGAATGTTTACTTGACGTTAAACATGCGTTGGTTCGTGTAAAGAAAAACAAAATTTGTTATAATATGTCATGTAAGCGAATTTGATTTTGGAAACCCTAAATGAATATTTTAGGAAATCTGGAAATATTTTAATCGGATTTGTGAATACTGGTCATAAATAAATTATTTTTTGATTTTATGTTTTAAGATAATATTCTAATGTTAGATGAGTATGAATGAGTGTGTGTGACTCTTTAAGTAAAAACTTCCGAATGAATCTGATTGAGATTTAGTATGATGACTTTTTGTAGGATAATTTAGGCAGAGCCGCTGGCCGACGCTTTGGCTAGATATCCACAAAAAATACTTTCTTAACTTGTATCAAAAAAGGTAGTTTATTAGTTTCAAATAAATATATTGACGACTGGCATCATTAATCTACACCAAGCACAATCTGTTCCACATTCAAATATATAACAACCTATGGATTCCTACAATTCTAAATTCAAAAAAATACAACAGATGTTCTTTTTTTGTTTCAGAGCAACTATACCAAATTCCTCAAGAACTTGCACACCGAGCAAATAGCAAAGCTTCATGCTAAAAACCAGCATGAATGCGATCTACTTGAAGATCTGCGAACCTACACCATCAAGCGTTCCGCTATCGAGAAATCTTACTCTGAGGTACGTATTGAAGTCGCTCGAGTATTTCAGTCGAGTAGTGCGGGTAAGTCAGCAGGTAAGTGCGTGTGAACGCAGCATTAACTCTAGGAAGCATATTGTATATAATACCACAAAATAAAAAAAACTAATCTTGTGTTTAAAATGAATATTTATTTTGATAGTCTTGTTTAATAACAATTTAGTCAAGTTTGTGAAGCCTCTTTTCGCAAGCGATATGATTAATTCCACATTGGAGAACAATGAGCAAGAATTTCGCCAATATCTTTAAATAATCGCGGAACAATTCGGTAGTTTCCAACTAGTTAAATTCGATACCTTTATTGAAATTTCCAAAACGATACTTTTCTTTGAATTTTGTTTGAGATCCCGAAATTTGATGTCCTATTCTGTCAAACAGCGAATTTTTAAAAAAGTAACAGAAAAAATAAAAGAATGTTTTCTTTTTAAAATTCATTGTATTGAAAAGTCAAAATTATTTATTTTTGACCTAGGAAACTACTCAATTATGTAAATGAATAATTATATATCGAACGTATCAAGACATAAAGTATAATATTGCGTCAAAAAATATGTAAAATCACGCACAAAAGTGTTTGACAAAAAAATGATTTTAAAGTTCATAATCCAGAAAGCTTCTGTTAGCGTGTACAGTCACGTGCTTAAATATGTACACAGATTATCTAGCAGTGGTTTCCTACGAGCGTGTACAGTAACGCATTTTATAAATCGTGATATGACAATTTTATAGAATTACCAATGGCTATGTGTAATAAATTTCTTATTTTTTTGTGAAATGGTGTATCCTATATACCTGTTTTTACTTTTTTTGATGGGGAACTTACTTTCTCCCAGACTTCTCTTGACCGGGGTGGGGTGAGAATGTCAGATGTATACTGAGTTTTGAAAAAAATGTTTCCCCATATTAGGATTTTCTCCTATGTAGGTAGGTACATATATAATAGCGCTTGTACCAGCAAGCATGGACATGGTTTATTTTTATTTGCTGCTAAGTGCGGCTCGACCGGAGTGATACCACGGCCTTACAGAAAACCGACGTGAATCTTACGTGAAAAGCCTGGAGCAAGAGAAGGAACGGGGGTTTTTAGTCAAAAAGAGTCTGACATAGCTCTCGCCATTCCCTGGGCGAGAGAAGTAATTTGATGATTATCCCGTCACAAAAAAAGGTTCAGTAACTAGTTATCATTACAACAATACCTTGTATACTTGAGGTACTTCAAGCAATAAAAAAACAATTTACTTCTAAATCAATTTCGATTTTGCTATAGTGCGATAAAACCGTTGCATAAAACCTCAAACGTCCGCGGCGCCAGATGTGTCATTTGTGTATTAACGACCCTTTGAATAGGTTTACTGCTTTAATTCCAAAAACAAACAAATTTCGGAATATCAAAAACTTAGAATGCGATATTGAACGTTAAACTACTAGCAATAGAATTCAGTTTACTTTCAAAAAATATTTCAGAATATCATTCGTAACGTGAGAGCGGTTTTCAATTCGATTGTTTTAATTTTTTTGTGGTGCAGTATTCCTGGCCACTGCCAGCCTTTGTAGGGGAGGCTAATTTAAAAAAAGAATGAATTTCCCCTTTGTCCTTGGACAACAACGTTCGGGATGATTACAGGTGGATGGACTTGTATTGGCTTATTGGATGTAACATGTGACTGCAAACAGTCAGTTGTTTACTGTTAAAGGGTGTTTTGCACATTTAGAAATAAAAAAGACAATCACGTTGTTTTTATATTTGCATGAAGATCGCTATAACAAAAAAGATTTATGATGAGATTCGTCGTAGTAGCCCGGGGGGTTAAGCAGTCCGCTTCTCATATATAAGAAGGGCGCCGGTTCGCCAATACCAATGTGACTTTTTCCGACTTATTTGTACTTTCTATGATTAATTAAACACCACTGATATACGGTGAAGGAAAATATTGCGAGGAAACCTGGACTTATAATTTCTAAATAAGTTTGAAATCGCCAATACGCCTTGAGCAAGCTCAAACCTTCTCCTTGGGAGAACAGCCCTTTGCTCAGCAGTGGACACTTATGATGTACATATGATGTGTGATAGGGCGGCGTTTAAAAGAGGTGAAGCCACGGAGCCGTTGTGACGATAATAGGCCTAACTAATATGCAATTAGTGCAGGAATATTATGAAGATAATAAGAGTAAAAGGTGGTGATCCATACTTCTTGAAATAAGTTTCTTTTAAATGCGGGAAAGCCATGCTTCGGCACGAATGGGTCGGCCCGACCGGAGTGATACCATGGCCTTACAAAAAACCAGCGTGAAACAACCGCAGCGTTGTGGTTCGTCGTCTGAGTGAAGTTAGCGGAGGCCCAAACCCTATCCCTCCCCTATTCCATCCAACCTTTATCCCTAAAAGGCCGGCAACGCACTTGTTACTTGTTTGGTGGTGCGGGTGTCCATGGGCAGCGCTGATTCCTTAACATAAAAATACTAAATAAGGAATATTCAGTATCGCTATACTTTTAAAAATAATCTTATCCCTAAAGACACTAGACACCACGAAATTTAAACCTCAACTACGCATCTAGACGCAAATAGTTGCAGAATACATTTGGTAAAAGTATATTAAATATTATGTATTTTCAATTTCTCACCGGTAATGAGACCGGCGTACCAGAAACGAAATTCAATTAATACTCATGAGTGCTGTTATACCAAAAATAGGTTCTATTTAACAGAAATATTTCAACGTTAAAATTACCTTTGAGTTGAAATTCAAATAACTTTTCATTGGTAAACTGTAGCACATTGAGTTACTACTACAATCTAATGGAATTGTAAAGTAAAGTAAAGTAAAGTAGTCTTTATTGTGTTGATTGTGTTGGTTACAGGTGTTATACATATTTATAGTGGTATACAGTACAACAATCAGCCCGTTTGGGCATACAATAATCAAGGCCCATTTGGGCTAGTACATTATTAATTAAAACAAAATTACAAGTTAACAACAAAAAATATATAAAAGTTACACATTACTTATTTTCTAAAAAATCCTTAATTGCATAATAACATTTTTGTGTAAGCCATTCCTTTATTTTTACTTTAAATAATCTTAATGGAAGTTCTCTGATAGTTTGGGGTATTTTATTATAGATTTTTATACACATAAACATACAATTTCTATGATACAGAGTGGTTCTGCATTTTGGTACAACAATCTTACTAGGATCTCTTTTGCTGAATGCACTGTTTTCTGAAACTTTTTCGAATAATTGTGGGTGATTTCTTACGAAGAGACCAACTTCAATGATGTATAAGGAAAAAATGGTAAGTATTTTAGTTTTCTGAAATAGGGGTTTGCAAGAATCAAAGGGACCGGCATTACACATTGCTCTTAAACAGCGTTTCTGTGCCAGGAAAACTTCGTTTATTAAAGTTGAGTTGCCCCATAGTAATAAACCATATCGTAAAACTGATCCTATATAACCATGGTAAGCAGCAATTGCTGTGGATTGAGTAGCAGTTTTGTTAAGCTGTCTTAGAACGTAAACAAATTTGTTAAGTTTTGAACATACATAATGTATATGAGACTTCCAATTGCAGTAGTTGTCTACAGTTATACCTAAGAATTTAATGTCAGTGGTTGGACTAATCACTGTATTATTATATTGCAAAGTAATTTTTTTGGTCACTGTTTGATAGTTAGAAAATTGTATATATTTAGTTTTAGTTAAGTTAGCCTGTAAGTCATTGTTTGTTAGCCATTGTATTACATGTCCTACTGTACTACTGTAACTTTACTGCTTCAGTTTTAGAATTGAAAATCTATCAAAAGAAGTGGGGTAGTTTGTAATGCTGCTTTGTTACCTACTTGTTTGGCCGTTTAAGTACCGATACATAGTTTATTAAACATTCATACAACTGTTTCAAATTGACTGACTGACAGTTGATGGAAGATAGACTCAAGGCATACTTAAGTGTTTGTGTATATTCTGTTACTGTAGCTAGGTAGCTGTTGTTCTTTGAATTAAAACAAGTTTAAAATATAAATTCAAATATGGAATTTTTATTTGCTTTTTCTTATAAAATATTATTGAATTTTGAACGATTTAACACAGATTAAAGAATGTCGATGGTAAAAAGGTTGAATCTATTTCGTTTTCGAGTATACAAAATAATCTCGAATTTGATAGCATTTTATTTTGTCATTTTCTATTTTACTTACTTAAATAAAATAGAAAATACTTATTATAAAAATCCTTCTCAGATCAAATCTTTACAACTTATTGTTAAAATAAACCTTACTACATTAGTAATACGTTCGAATATACATACAAGCAAAAATCTCAGTCACATTATTATGTAAGTTTGAAGAAGAACTACGAATTACGAATCGTCTAAAGGATTCAAACGGGCGACTCGTTACAGTCCATTTTGGCAATCGTGACCAGAATAAAATATTATAACAGTTGACGTTTGTATCGATTAACGATTACGAATGGACCTGCTTTACATATCGGTTCAGAAATAAAGAAAAAGGGACTCTTACTTTTGATAAATAACGTCGAAAATGGGTTGGAGTTGAGTTTGTTTGTATTATTTGGTTACTACAATGATGGACTTACAAAACGAAGTAAAGTTCATTTATTATAATAGATTTCTTTTTCAATAATATGTACTTAGATTTTATCGACGTTTGTTTTTATTGATTGTCTTAAAAACGAAATTGGATTTACTGATTTTTGTTTTTTTTTTTACCTCATAGTAATTCCGATTCCTGAAGGAAACGTTCCTTTATATGTTCTACAAATGGTTGTTCTGGGTCTAAGTATGCACATGTATTTTTTTTTAATAAAACAGACAGTCTATAAACATGTTTGTAACTCTTTTCTCTCTATCCTTCACACTCGTTGAAGCGATCAATAATACTGAATCAGTCCTAACAAATATGCTCAAACAGAATAACTTCAAGAACTTCGGAATAGGAACGAAAGGAAACTTTTTATTCTCA